GTTCGAAACGGTCGATCATGGCGCCGATCCTTTTTTTCTCCTTGGCCTTCCTTCCTTTCTTTTTCCTGTTATTATTTAACGTAGAAGATAAACGTTGATAACAATGAATAAATCATGCTTCACCTTATCGAGACTATGAAGTCGATTAAATCGTTCGTTAAAAGGCGGATCTTAAGTTTCGTTCAGGTTGTACCTGTTCTGCCCGATCGTTAAAGTCACCGGCACAGGAACAATGATCCAGTGAACTTTAAAGAGATCGGTCATCCCGCGATATTTTTCTCCGCGTGGTTGTCCCCCCTCCTGTCTCCCCGTTTGAGCAGGGCACATCCAATAAATGAGAATATCGGAAATATCTCAAGGCCAGCACCGGCCGTTCAATATCGAGTTAATTGCAAATAAAAGAACGCGAGGAAAACTTGATTACAGTAATTCCGCTCTTTGATCACCGATATCCGGTTTATCGACTTCGCCGACCGTCCGAGGCGCTATATAATTTTTCACTCACCTCGAGGATGATTAGCAAAAAAACATGGATAGAGAAACTGTCCCGGAGTTGTTAAAATAGCAATAAATAATCGGAACTCTTTGATCGTGAAATAACGCGATGCTCGCGCGTTGCATACGAAATACCGAGGCGTAGCTGGCCAGAATACAAATTAGCAAATAATAGGAATTAGTAAATAACGGAGCTAATTCAGCTGATTCGAAATAACGGTACGCAATTGTTTAATACCGAGGAAATCACGAAATTAATATTGCAATCACATTGTCATTAATATTACAATGTTGGAATATCAGTACAATGAATCGCGTTGCTGTTTCCGAAGCGTTAATATCGCAGGATCGAAGCTGAAAACTCGCGCGAGTAGATCAACGACCGCGGACGCGAGGATAGATCGACCAAAGGTGCGGATTCTCGAGATCGAATGGAACGAGATCGGTGGCGCGTGAAGGGAAGAAACTTGAAACACGCCCGATTCCGAAGCCTTTTTCTCTCTCACTCTCTCTCTCTCTCTCTACTTGTTTTGCTACGATCTCTATTCATGTTCCTCGAGGCTGTCTGGCTCGAGCATAGTTAAAGCGGCAATTCGGCCGTGACGGAAATGAATTTTACTTTGCTTATTTTGTAAATTGTTGCGACGCGACGCGTGTTTCACGATAACAGGGCCAGCTTGTGCTCGAACGAGCGCAATTTCGTGCCGAATATACTTGCCGGTATCAATTACGTTTGTTCTTCCGATGATGCATGCACATCGACGACGTGCAATTAGCCGACACAATGGGATAAACTTTGAAATTTGTTGTTCACAGTATCGTCGCGATTTATCATTGGGGACTGGAAGAGCCACCTAGTGAAGCAAAGCTCGATCGATCGCGAGAGAAGACAAGTAGCTTACATGTTAATCGCAGCGTACACGTACACAGTGACTGTTTCGCGAATGTGTGCGTAGAG